GTATGCTTTTTGGGTTATATTGTGTTTAATGCAGACATTCAAATGGATTCTACAACCATTGTAAGTTGGATTGCATCGTATTCATTCACTGAGCTGAGGCAATTTCTAGGACTAGCGTCTTTACATGCAATTCATCAGGAGCTTCTGGCGGTTGGACCAGCAACAAGGCAGCATTGGGAGATGAGTTTGGGCAGCTGGAACAACGAGGACAGCAGGGGCAAAGGGCAACAGCTAGGCAGTGGCGGAAGGTGGTAAGGGCAATTGGAAGAGCTGTGGGTGACCAGAAATGCAAGGGGGAGGGCTGGAAAGCAGGTAGGTAGTCACGGAGTGTTTAGGGCAGCTGCAATGGTTGCGGCAGTGAGGGAGGCAAATTTCGGAAAGTGGCAGCTGAGGTGAACTGAAGGAAAACAGCAACGGCGGTTGTTCAGGGGCAGTTGCAGCAATGGAGGGTGACTAGAAGCGACGTGGCGAAGATGTGAAAAGGGATAGAAAAGATAATCACCATCTCGGGAGAGAAATATAGCTGGAGCACCATTAAAACCCTTAAATATAGCTCTCTAAATAAACTCATGCCAAAAAATTGACTTTTAAGACATCAGGAATACAAATATATAATAATAGAATAGCGAGGAGTGGCCCAAGAGGACCGGTCGACTCCACAACAACGGAAAATCTTGGACTGATTCTGTTTGGGTGCAAAAACTGAAGTGTGCATGGTCATAAGAGTCCCCCATAGTAGCAAGAGACACCCCAACACTCACGCTTCATGCACCATAGAGGGAGACACCTGCGTCACTCCCTCTCCAAAATCTGCTCTAAAAACCTTTCAAAAATCCAATTAAAAGCTCTCCAAAACCTCCCCTTCCACTTGGCTAAGAGGACAAGCGTTCCAGCCATCATATAGGGCTCTTTTCTTCTTTAGCCCATGCCCAAAAATCTGTTGGAAAGTGGGGTGGAAATGTCCAAATTTTATCTAAAATTAAGTTGGAGCATTGCAGCGTTGTCCTTGGGCGCCTAGGCGCCAACCAACCCAAGAGCAAGTTGTGGCATTGCCAAGGGGCACAGTGACACTTAAATTGGCCTAGGAGCATGTGTGTGCTCGCAAGTGGGTCCATGTGAGGGCGTAGATGAGTGCTGGTGCATGCGCGCTCATGCATGCTAGTGGTGCATGTGTGTAGGTTAGCAGCATTTGCATTGCACCAATGGCTCACATATACATGTGAATCAATCAAAAAAAGCTATAAGATAGAACTAAAATCTATCAAAAAAAGTATGAGCAATGCCCATGACAGCACATCATACCATAGTATATTAGAATAGTTAGCCAACTGAATCTGATATAGACAATTTTCAGGCATAAAAATAATAGTTTTAATTGCTGCCTCATATGATCGTACGTATGGTTCAGACTTCAAATTCATAAGAGCTAACATAGGTCTAGACACGACATTATGCAATTTTTACTACAATTATAAGCTTACAAAACTCCATGTGTTTGAAATAAGTTAGAGAAATAATAATTTTCATTAAATCAGATTCAACCCTAGGAGTAGCTATGATGAAATGCATAACCATTAAAGAATTATGAACTAGTGCATAATCTTGATCAAATTCGTGCACATTATCAAACTCATAAATTTCATTACCTTCCTCCACATTTATATGCCAGTTCTTACTATAGCCTTGATTAAAGATAGGAAAACTATCAAGGTAGATAATTTAGGGTTTAAGGTGTCCTGTTAAATTGAATTGGTTTATCATTGTGATCAGAAATTACTTCAAGTTAACATGAATGTACTTGAATAGTTTCCAATATGTAAAGTTACGCTTTTACTATGTCACAGTTATCATAGAATTGACTTTTTTTGTTCAACAAATCAATTAATTGATTTTGCAAATTTGTTAAAATAACATATCTCACAATATACTAACTTAGTAGTTAGCCCCACTTCTAATAAACATGAAACAAACTAAAACTTTGATGTCAATTGATGTAGGACTTAGGATTTTCTAAAGGATTTACAAAAAGCCATCAATTAACTCAATGAGTACCTTCACATGTGAACATGCAATGCTAGAGTTCACAACCAACTGAAAATAAAATAATTGATATATTCAACAGGAGAATAGAAACATATAAAATTAGCGAGCAAAATAACTTGATGTCTACAATTTGGACCCCCAACATTTTATTTTTTTTTTATCAAAATCAAAAGCACTAAATAAGTTAAAATCAAATTATATATACATAAGAATAAAACAATGAAAGAATGCATCAAAGTGTAACTACGCCTAACGCCTAACGCCAGTGCAAGGAAATAAATACTCACAAAATTAAGTTGTTGCTCGTATACCACACCCAAGGAAATCATACATCCAACTTACACTCAGAAGAATGAAACTGAGAAGAGACCTTATGACTGTTATTTAATCATATGTTTGAATAGCCCAAAAAGCAAAAATAAGTTTTAAAATCAATTTCCATTAAGGAAATTTTTCCTGCACAAGCAATGCATCTATATTTTAATGTATAAAAGTGAAAGAACTTAGATATTCATGAATGAGAATCATTGGCTTCAGATTCCAGTTTGCTTCCGCATTAAGAAAGCATCTCATGCAACCCATCCTACACACCTTCAACCCTTGTTCTCCCTACATCTTTTAAAAATGTTTTGCAAGGAGACAAATTGATTTACGTTGGACAAGTCATTCCATATAACATAATTCTATGGTGATTATCCAAAAAAAACATCTCAAGAAATTTCTTTCCAAATAGCTTGAAGTAAGAAATCCATTAAAAAAAAACCCTACGTGGAGTTTTGAAAGGAGGTTTGGGAACTTAAAGCATTTTTATTGTTCTATTAGCAGAATTCTATAACCAAACAAATTGAGTGAAGACTTTATAATCTAGATATGTAAGGAATTCCACAATTATAGATTCAAATGAAACTTAATTGAATTTAAGTGAGACTGCTGGATGATAATTTGCCTTTAGATGTAAGAGTATAGTGGGAAAAACTTATTTTCTTTTATGTACAGGTTATATTGTATATATGAGATTTACTATTTAATTTAGCTGATTTGATATTGGGGAAAGTTATATTAAGATTACAATGATGGTTTCTTTAAAGAGGCCATGAAGTAATTAAATCTATATGCTTCAAAAAGAATATGAAGTTAGTTATGATTAATGATATGTTATGCATGTTGAAGCAAGCGAAGTTAGGTTTTAAAGAGATTTATATATTTTAAATAAAAGGTCAAGCAAGTTAGCCAATATGAATGCCTTGCATACTGATGCAATTATGAATAAGGTATTACGCTAAGGGAAGCAACATTTAAAAATTAATTACCTAAGGTAGGGAACAACATTTCTACTTAAGAGTAATATTTCTTTCCTTCTACACCAATCGCATTTAATTAATATCGTTATGATCCCTGTTCGTTTATTTATATAGATAGTTACTAGGCCATAACTGCAAATAGTTTACACTGGTTTGTCTGCTTCAATGCAAAATGATCTTCAGAAAAAAATCAATGAAATATATGCATCCACTTTATGCTACAGCTATTTTTAATGTATTTCGCAATGTTTCCTCATAAGAAGATAGTGTTCACTAAAAAACATGCAAATAAAATGACATATTTATGGGTATTTGTATGTGCATGTTGAAAGATAAAGTTTACCCCCTAATGATACAAGCTGGGGATGCTAATATAACAGCACATTTATAATAATGACTTTTACCTTCTGCCTTAAAAAATAGTAAAAGTATGATCTAAACCCTGCTATATCAATAGGGGATGTATCGGCTTAGTTGGTTTGATGCTTTTACAACTCAGACAAGCGAGGTAGTTTTATAATGGTACTCCTGAGGTGGATGTATTAGTATATAGTTAAATATAAGCTAAAATGCAATTAATAGTCAGAAGAATTTTATGGTCCTAGAATTGTAAATAACCTTAATTGCTAAGAAATGTTTATCTTCGTTGTTAATATTCACATGATAAACATATTTTATGATTTTCTTATGGTTTAAAATAATAACTAGTATAAATGTTATTTTTTTATTAAATTAGAACTATGATATATCCACTGAATAATATTTATAACTCACACCCATCATCTAATAAATATTCTAGGAAGGGGATTCCGTTCAAATGAGTGAGAGGAGAATTTGTGTATTGTCGAAATCGAGAAACAAGTAATAGATATTTAAAATTTCGAAAAGTTGAAATACTATAGAAGATTTATTGTTAATTTTGGAATAGCACGAACTTATTAATTTAGTGGCTCTTGTAATCTATTGGAAATTATTACCGTAAGAAAATTAATGAATAATAGTTCTATATTTGTTTAATGTTAATAAATGTATTTAAGAACTTCTTCCGACCATCAATTTCCAGTTTAATATTTTAAGCTACCGAGCCAAATAATGAAAGTAGAATAATTTCTCACCATGGAAGCAATAGTAACCAATCTGAATGCAAACAGTTTTTCGCATTAATAATTTTTTTTGTTGAGTATGTGCTTCACCTTTTATGTAATATGCTAAGGCAATGGGTAGTTGCAAGAAAAAAATGAATGAAAAAGAAAATTTCCTTGACATTCCAATATTTCATAAAAAGATAAATATTGTAGACACCAATACAAGTAGTATTTTTCCTGTAGCTACAAGTAAGGCTGACAAAAAGGAGGTTCAAAATATGTCAGCAAGGGAGAAAGTTTGCATGAAGAACAGAAAACGTGATAGCTCATTAGATCAAATAATTCTTTGAAGTATCTTAATGCATTTCCATATGGTAATTTAAAAAAAGGGAAAAATTCATGATAAAAAGCTCGAGAAAAGAACCAGTTTTCACTTTACCACATAATCAACAGCAAACTAAACTTTGCACAGACTGCAATTCACAAGTCGCTTGCAATTGGTTTAACAAAACTCAAGAGAAAAAAATCTCTTGCATGCAATTAAATATTTATGCCCATCGGAAAAGCTTACCGGTGTAATCACCATGCTGTAGCGCGACCAGATAATTCCAGTACAAGTAACGGCTTCATAAAATGTAAAAAAGATGCATCAGCATATATTTGAAGGCAGATTTCAAAAGTGGAGAATGGGAAGCACATACCAATCTGCTGAGGATACGAGATTTTTTCAGGTGGCTTGGAGAAATCTGCAATATTCGCAATGCTGATACCCCATTTAAAAGTTGGAGCCCAGAAATGAACTGAAGATAAGTTTACGTTAATATTGTGGAAGTAGAGATGAAATCTTTCAACAAACTTATATCAATATGTAAGGCAATGAGAGAAAATTTTGACCCATTAAAAATTTTCAAAGCTAGAAGAAAGAGTTCCTTTTCAAAATAGGTGGCTGTCTCCTTTTTTTTTTTTTAATATATGCATATTAAAGGACTAGTAAAAAACATGTCATCAATTAATTTGATATTAGTGCAAGGCATTATGAAATTTAAAATTGAAAGAGGTTAAATTCACTAAGAGAAAAGTTTAACAAAGAAAAGACGCTTTGAACATCATCTATACACTATATATGAAAGGGCAAAGAATATACCATCTAATTTGAAAGAATAACAAACATACATACATAAATACAACCATTCATGCGCGCGCGCGCGCACACACACACACACACATATACATACATACATAAATACAACCATTCATGCACACACACACACACACACACACATATATACGGAGAGAGAGAGAGAGAGATCCATTTCAAAATGGGTTACTCTCAATTTTTTTAATTCTTTTAGTACGTATTATCAATTTAAAAATTAAAGCTATGAAAAGCGTCAAAGCACATCTATTTATTATCTACATGAATATGGTCTATACACCATGCATTATTTTAGATATCACATTTCTCAAACAAAATGAAATATTAATTTAAAGGAAACAAACTCGTGTAATTATTAAAATGCTTAAGGACTCGTTTGGACGAGTGAATTTCTGGTGTACTGTAATTCATTGGCAGGAATTTGCATATTTTATTTGTTTGATATGAGGAATTACAAATACAATGTAAAATATGAATGAATTTAAAGTTTACACTGTAGTTTATATTTGTTGAATTCATAATTCGACAGATTTGACCGAATTTAAATTACATCGTTTATTAAAATATAAAATAGTATCGGCAAGCCACCGCCGTCGTCGCTGCCGTCGTCGCCGCCTCCGCCCGCCGGCCGACCATTG